TTTTTTTTTTTTTTCTTCAAGTTTGTGTCTTTATGTTAAAGCCCAATTGAATTTGCATTTTAAATGAGCTAAATAAATTCCAGAAGCATCAAAACATACAGTGTACCAAGTCTAACAGGGTTATTCACAAAAGGTGAAGAGTTCGGAGAAGGCAGGAGAAGTGAACAATCTACGACAACATAGCTGAACTGGAATAATTCTCCAGATCAGCTGTTTTGGCCTAGATTGTTCACTTCTGCCTTCTCCGAACTCTTCACCCTTTTGTGAGTAACCCTGTTACTTAATTTTCCTTTAGAAAGTAGCCACATCCTGACAATCCTTAGTGGTTTGGCATGCCCCCTGTAGAATTAGAGCTTGAGTTCACCATTGATGAGGGAACTTGAGATTTCTAATTGTAGAGCTCTAGGTCTGATTCTGCATAGGGCCCACTGCTTCCACACAAAATGTCCTCTATAGCATGTTGTCCAGGGGCAGGCTTTTCTATGCTAAAGGATATGAGCTGCAAGGCTTTGAAATCCTTTTGTTTGATGCACATATAATGTATTTAGTTGGACTATAAACTTAGACTTTAAAGTATTTTGCACTTCCTGCCTCATTTTAATTAGGTCTTTTCTAATACACAGATTGTGATCAGCATAGCTCTTATGTTTTACGTGGTCCATCGAGCGCAAGTGGAGTTGAACGCAGCTATCATGGCTTGTGAAATGGAACTGAAGACTTCTTTGAAGGACAGCCAACTGAATGGCGGCAGCACGGTATTTTGCGGCAAAAGGACCTTATTGTCCATGGGAGGAATTAACATTGTATGAGTGTTCAAGCCATGCAGCCTTCTTTCATTGCCAAGATCTATTTCTCTTTCCCTTCACTGAAGGAAGACATTTTCTGCACAACTTTCAAATGAACCTTCAGTGGTTTTTTCCTTTTGAGGATATCGGCCAGGATCTCCAAATTGGAAGCATTCATCAGTCGTCACATTCTGTGTATGTCATGGCATAAACAATGCACTTTTCTGCGCAGCTCTTACAAACACGTCATGGCAAATGTATTTATTACTGGACAATAAACTATTTCTTATGAAATAGCGAAAAGGAACTTGTATAAAATAAATTATATTTGTAATTTGCCTTTTTAGCATTTTGCTTTTGCAGTATTGTTCAAGGACCTTTCTAGCTAAAATACAAGTTGGTCCATTTAAAAGAAATAGAATTCACTTGGTAAGCAATAGCAGCTTTTGTTGCTGAAAATTAAAATGTCCACTGCATATGTTAAATATGAAAAGAATGTAAATGACCTTTGGAGGGGTTGTCCACTATTTACTAAAGATGGACACTGAGTTTGGACTTCAGTGTGGAGAAAAGTTGATTTTATAGACTCGGACCTCCTATGATCTCTTCTACCTATATTGCTTGTGTGTAGTTTAGGTTTTTATTCACTATGGAAATGCAAGGTTTTGTAACCCACTACAACTTTACAAATAGGTTGGTCTCTGTATTCCAAAGCTCCGTAGTGGTTGTTTTGGAGAACTACACCTCATTGTTCTTTTCCCCTGCACATGACAAGAGTAAGAAGCTATTGAATTAATCTTTCCCCCAATTTGCTACAGTGAGTTCATTTTTAAAAACATGTGGACAACCCGTTTAAGTTCTTTCAGCATTTAAAAATTGTTCCTAGTAGTCGTTCATATGCACCAACTTTTATCTTGGGCTTAAGCTTGGTCTTTTTTTGAGTTGCCTAGCTATTGTTTGATAGGAACAGGACCATTTTTCTTGTCCAATGAAAACAATTCAAGCATACCCCTACAAAGTGCTCTTAATCCAGCTGATATAAGCAGCTGGTCTTTTGGTTTGTTGTGGGTTAAAGCCATGTTTTATCTCCAGGGCCAGAATTACAGTATAGTGATAGGCTTGTATACACATTGGGCAAGGCCAATGTACAGATGCTTGAAGTTTGAGGAGCCTGGATAAGTGAGGGAGAAGATTGTTTAAAATGACACTTAACTTGGGAATTAAATTTTAAAAATGCATTCAAGTACCTTTTTTAAAGGAGAACTATGAGGTGAGTGCTTTTCACTCACCTCATAGTTCTAGCTGACCTGTGACAATGAGACAGATCGGCTCAGTAAATCGGGAGGTCAGCGACCACATACCGGCGTTCGCTCACCTCTTGATCCTGTCACGGCTCTCTGCCGTGACAGGGGAGGGGCTGGATTCCCCCCGCCCTGCTCCGATCCGCCAGCGCTGACTGGCGGATCGGACGGGGGAGGGGCGGATACAGCTGGCTCTGCCTCTAGATAGGCAGAGCCAGCTGTCACTCACGCAGCTGGGCGGATCCAGACATAATTGTCGGGATCCGCTTCAGCTGCGGCATCTCAGTATACTGCGAGTTGTACGAGTTGTAGCTCGCGGTATACTGGGCTTAGGGTGACGGGAGGACGCTAGTTTGTGTCCTCACGTTACCCTAAGGAGAACTATGGGGAAAAGCCTTAACCCCATAGTTCTACTATTAACAAAAATGTATCTAATTTGTGTATCACTCATCCTGTAGATCCTCAAATCATCTCTGAATTGGTGCTGACACTGTCCTTCCTTCTGGAGGGTGGCTACTTTTGTTCCCCATGGTTCCTGTGTGTGTTGTAAAGTAGCCGACGCTCCAAGTTCACTCCTGTGATGGACTACAATGTCACATTTAGTTTTCTAATTTGTATTGAGATTGTAGTGTATCATGGGAGCGAGTTTGGAGCGGTGGCTACTTTACAACACACACGGGGACCATGGGGAACAAAAGTAGACACCCTCCAGAAGGAAGGACAGTGTCGCCACCAATTTCAGAGATGATTTGAGGATCTACAGCCGAGTGATACGCAAATAAGATACATTTTTGTTAATGGGGTACGTCAATATATTTTTAAGATTTAACTCCTGAGTTTAGTGTCCCTTTTTAGTGACATCCATTGGATCAGCATTGCTAAAAATACTTAACACAATAGTGTCCTCAATCCTGTAATTCTGGCCTGATGACATTTTAGATTGACAAAAAAAAAAACATTGTGTCTTGATGTAACATGAGTTTAGAAGCACTACATTTTTAAATATATGGTACATGGCGATGTGTTTTGTGTCTCTTTCATGATTAGTTTGTAGGTGTATCTGTAAATAATATATAGCTTACATGTTCACAAGGTACAGCTACAAAATGTGTATAAAAATTCACGGAGAAGTTCAGATCTCCAGATTCCAAATGCTGGACTGTTTGCAGCAAGTTCTCGAGTGGCCTTCAACTTTTTATTCTTATTTATTTTATGTTCATTTGTAATATAAGCTTTAAAAAAAAAAAAAAACATAAAAACTGCCTTTGCTTGGCTTTTGTGTTTTTAGAGTGAATTGTTGCTTCTACTTCAGGAATGCTGGAGTAGTGTGCATGGGAATTCTTTAGGATCCAGTGACACTTCTGTGGCACATGGGTGTTAATTTTAATAGTCAG